CTGTGATCTATTTTGTCTCATCAATCGTGGGTTTTCGACGTGCCGTTCGTGTAGATTGTGAAGGTTCATGTAGCCGTCTTTTTTTAAAGGTTGATTCATCCGACCACAAAAAAAATTCTAAGAATTGTGGGTCTTCTCGGTGTTTTTGAATCATGGTTTGGCAAAACGCAACCCGAGGTTCATAACCACGAGGTAATAGCGTTTATACTCGCTGTACATGATAAGGCTCCACCCTCATTTTTTTGTAATATTCGGTGAGCTATACTTTTGGGCACACCTGTGCTGGCCTCAATTCCACGTACCGAATAACTTGGGTCCTCATCAACTGCTTGTAGGACTACTTTCTCGTAAGGTAATGAAATTCTACTTTCACCATGCATTTGGTTTGGCAGTCGGCCATCAGAGAAGAGTAGACGGTGCACATTGGTAAAAACTCTGTGATCTGGATAGCGATCAGCATTGGGGTATCTCTCGGGATACGGTCTAGCGGCTTCACTGGCATTACATTGGCATTCTCCATAAATGAGGTGCATGTTGGCATATTCCTGTGTGGTGTACACAGCCATGGCAAATACACAATAACACGTTAGTCCAGGGAAAAGCAAAGGTCGTCGTAAAGAGATCACAAATGTCCAAATTCAAATCCAAATCACACGCAAACAAGTCCAGTAAACGAAGCCAAAGTAGTAAGAACACAAGATATCACCAGCGAATACGAAAAGATGCGTAGGAAACGAAGTAGCGTTGCGTACTGATTTCACAGAGTACTTGACTGATTTGCAGTGCATGTACCAATACCAATAAGAGGCGTCACTACCTGTCTTGCTCACACTTAGCATGGCTCTCTGTCTTGTTCACTCATTTGCGTCTGTGTCTCATTAGCGTCACTATCTGTCTCGCTCACACTTTATGGAATGTCTCTCTCTATCTCGTTTAAACCACGCTGTGGTTTAAATGAGATAGAGATTAGTAGTCATTAGGAACGCTTTGGTTGCGCTAGAATCGTTTTAATGTAAGTTCCAAAAAATTGTTAAAAATTGACTTTGTTTAACAAAAAAATTTTTATGTCTGATCTAAGAAATAATGGAGTAAGTGTTATACCACGTTAGAATCCTTATTAAATGCACTAACTTTTAAAGCTACTTGCCAAACTGGCGTAGTACAATTTTTTTCCAGGACGGTCGGTTGAAATAGTGCGAAAAACTAATTCTGAAAACTTGGTTCGGTATAAAATTACATTTTCTTTAAATGTAATTTAAAAAATAAAACCGGGTCGTCCGGGTACTATTTCAATAATAAAAGCAATCCCTTTGACGGCTTTACTTAATATTTTTATTACGCTATTTAACAGGACAGTTTTTAACGATAGATTTATTTATTTCTACCAGCTGTGGATTAAACCCTCGATTTAATTTCCCTGCGCCTGGCAAATCCCTAGCGGTATAACAAAAAAAATACCAAGCGGATGTCGCCAGCGTGAAAATCATAAATATTTCTATATATTACTCGAAATTATTTACGTAAAAAGATAAATTATATTCACACAAAAACTTTTATAACAATTTTATAATAAAACACTAATAAAACACTAGAAAAATCCAAAAATCAACTCAACAACATCTAAATGAAAATGGCGTACGTAATGATCGTAGAATATTAATTAATATTCGTAGACTAACTGTTTTCTTATTCCACTTGAGGATAGAAAATTTCATATTGATTCTATAACGCCAACCTTCCTCATAGAAAAGTAGTCTCTAGCACATAAGTATTTATGGGTTAAAGTACTGTGGGTGGGTGGGGTAAAATTCGACTTCTTGAATTTTGACGGAATATCGAAGTGGTCAACTTTGGACGCTTGGCATTTGAGAGGTTAAATCTGGGGATTGTGCTTGCCATTCTAGGGCCGTAACATCATGTTTGTACAACCAGGCTGTTACCACCCTGATTTTATTATAGGATAGGGTGACAAATGAGCACACAGTCCATCTGATGGTAAATGGATACTGTGGTTCATAGACTTCTAAGGTTATCATCAATTAAGAATCAAAATTCAGTTGCGTTGTCATCCATGAGAACTAAGATGAAATACCTCGTTTTCAGTAAAAGGGGTATCCGGTTCTCTTCACTCACCATACTAAACACAAGCATTAAGCTACTCTTTTACGCTGTAATTCTGTTCCTGAAGGCATAGTCCTATCCCGGTCAAGCCAACCCACTTGTGCATCAACAATAATATAGCTGCAGCGTGGCTCTAGTACGTATAGAAATGGATGTATGTATTCGGGCATTGTTGTACCCGTTCACATACCGCCATTTAAAAAAAATTGACCCATTTGTATTCGATGTGGCAAGCATATAGGTTCTATGACCTCCTGACGGTAGTTTTAGGCGTCATAGTGCCATGTATCCAAGGTCCGTTCTTCCTTCAAAACGCATTAATGCTTAAACCATAATTGTAGGTCCGCATTACGGATGAACTTCTTGAGGGTGTTGCAGCCGGCCTGTACGACTAGAAACTCTTCAAACACGTACTCTCCTCGAATCAGGATGAAAACCATCCATCGGTGAAATGCAACAACGACCATTTTTGAAGTTCTCATTTCTCATTTACCCTAGCCCATTGCAGTTTTCGTCCACGATTTTCTCTTGGAAGCCGAAGTGGTCTACGAACTTGAAGGTTAGCCTTGTACAGTCTCCTCCTCATAATTTGGTCACTCATAAGCATCGGGTGTTCAAAATAGCTTTTAGATCAATTGCATAGCCGTAACATTTAAATACCTTCTCCCAGAAACGGTCTAGTTTGTGTGTAGCGAAGTCACGTCGAAAAGCACCAGGCTGCATGCCTACTGCTCTTAACATATTTTTTTCTAGTTAAATATCAACGTTGCGTTGCAATAAAATTTCAAATTATCATAATCAACCCAAGTTGAATCAAAGAGATGTTTAAATAGTGGTTATCAAAAAAAAAAAATTACTCTGCATACAAAATTCGCTCCCTAGAGGGTTCTAAACTAGAGTTCAATACAAATTTTGCCGTCATCACACTTTATTTTTTCTTTTATTTAGGAGCCATTTCAGCGTTACGCAATCATAAAATTATACGCTTCGATCGTGCGACGACCTACACGAGCGAGACTTTATTTCATATTATCTATTTAATCGCGGGCACTATGATAATGTGAGTATAGCGACTAAACGATCTTGATCTTCCATTATACAAGTTTTCTTAGGATGGAATTCAGTAGATGAAAAATTTTTGGTCTGTCATTTTTATGTTATCTAATTAGTGTATTATAATCTTTGATATATTTTTCATTATTTATGAAACTTAGATTTGAAATAAGTACACATAAACTACTCATGGATCGAGAAATTAGGGGTGATAATAACTACAAAATTATGTCATTTATAAAACCACAATCTCTTTGTGCAGAATTGTTGGATTACTCTAATCATATAATTAAGAACTTAAGCTATGACGACAAGATTGTGATTGTGACGGGTGCGAATGATTCTAACCCAATCAAATTATTAAACGATTTAAGCTTGGTGCTTTATAAGTTAAGTAAATGTAGTAGAGTATATATTTTAGAAGTCGTAAATAATCCTTATTTGAATACTAAAACATTAAATGATAATATAGCTTCTTTAGTTAGGTTGTATAATAATTGTACTTTTTTGACATCGAGTGGTAATTTTTATAACGTAAAAGAATATTTGTGGCATATGAGTCGAAAAATAAATTTTAATTTAGATTGCTTTGACTATGATACATCATTTCTATCATTAAGTAAATTAAGAAATAGATTGACATACAACAAAACTCGCAAAAAACTAAACCTAATTCACCTAAAGGTCAATTCATAAAGGGCACTATACCTTACTATTTTAATTTAATGAATAAAAAGAATGTTAGACATAATAATGAAAATTACAATATCATCAACGAGAGCTCTAAAAATTATAAACCAAATAGAGGGTTAATAACTTATTATTTTCATTCTGTAAAATCTTATAAACAAGTATCACATGATTCCTTTCGTCCATAAAGAAAAATCTTTAAATATGAAATTCACAATCTTACACCAAAATATAGCTGGCATTTGCTCCAAAAAGGATATTTTACAACATTAAAAAATTTACACGAAGAGGAGAATACACGAATAGATGTCTTATGCTTAACGGAAACATTTGTTAAAGCAAGTGATTATAATAATTATAATGTTTATGATTACAAATTAGCTGGTTTCTATGGTCGTAAAAAAATAGAGGTGGTGTATGTATTTTGATAAAGAAAGATATAGAGTGGAATGAAATAATATTTATTTCAGATTTAAAAGAATCCGAGCATTTTGAATGTTGTGGAATAGAAATTCCTTTACATAATATTTACATAATATGCATCTATAGGACACTTGGTTTAAATGTGAATATATTCTTTTTTAAACTACACAACTTATTGTCAAAATTAATAAATAATCACAATAAAAGAATTATTATTGCTGGAGACATTAACATTAATACCTTGGAAAATAGTAAAAATACAATTGAATTAAATGATATCATTTCGAATTATAATTTATATGTACATATTAATGAACCAACGCGTGGAAACAACTGTATAGATCATATATTTATTATATAAGGAATGCAACAACATGTGTTAAAAAGTTTTATTTATCAGATCATGAATTCGCGCAAATATTATCTATTGATGTACATAAGCAGAGATAAAAGTTAAATGATATTTGGGAGTATAAAAGGAATTATAATTTATATTACATTAATATGTTTCGTGAATGTATAAAAAAAGCTTACTTTTAAGGAAGTTTTTGAGGATAAAGATATCAATTCTGCATACAATAAATTTATGGACCTTTTTATCTTATTTTATAATCTATGCTTTCCGATGATTAAGATAAAAAAACTAGACATGAAATATAAAAATAACTGGATTACAAAAGGTTTGAGACTTAGTTGTTTAATGAAAAGGAAACTCACAATTGGTTATTATAAGGAAAAGACTGAAGAGAATAAACAAAAATACAAAATTTATAGCAAATTACTAAAAAAATGTATTGACGTGCCTAAAAGAATAAATTATTTTAAACGAATTAATACCAGTAAGAATAAAGGAAAATGTTCATGGAATATGATAAAATCAGAGGCAGTGTTAAAAGAGAACGACAACTATTTAAACATGATAAACAAGAATAATGAATGTCTAAGATCTCCACAGAAGATTGCTAATGCTTTTAGTGAGTATTATGAAAGTCAGACAAGGATAGTTAACCTTAAGCAAGCGAAAGAAACACACATGTATAACATTAAAAGCCCGTGCAAAAGTATGTTTTTACGTCCAATTACTCTGGAGGAGACAAAGTCATTAATAGTTTATTTAAAAAATTCTAGAAGTGAAGGTTATGATGGCGTAAATACAAAAGTAATTAAATATTGCAAGGATGAACTATCGCTTATACTTACATATTTGATAAATTTATCATTCGAAGTAGGTGCTTTTCCAGAGTCATTAAAACTATCTTTGATCAAGCCCTTATTTAAGCAAGGTGATAGAAAAGATATTAATAACTATCGTCCAATAACAATTTTGTCAGTTTTCTCAAAAATTTTTGAAAAAGCTATGCATAGTAGGCTCAGTCATTATTTTAATGAAAACAAGTTTATGAAAAAAGAACAGTATGGCTTTCAGCAAAACAAATCAACCACGATGGCGTGTTCTGATCTATTAAAAAGAATCGCCGATGCAATAGATGATAAGGTAAATGTAACAAGTGTATTTTTCGATATGTCAAAAGCATTTGACTTTGTTTGCCATGACACCTTATTACGTAAGCTAGAAAAGTATGGAATAAGAGGACTGACATTTTAGTGGATAAAGTCATACTTATTATCAAGAAAACAGTGTGTGGAAGTTATAAGCCCTAATAAAAATAAAATTTTGACAAAATTCAGATCGCGACTAGTTCTGAAGTACGCTGGAGTTCCTCAGGGAAGTGTTCTTGGACCTTTTTTTGTTTGTAATTTATGTAAATGATTTACCGGATTCAACTCCATTCCCATGCATTTTGTTTGCGGATGACATATCTTTAATCATAAAAAATAATCATGGAAATAAAGATTATTATGAAAACGACATAAAATGTGCAATAAATGATGTCATTTCATGGTTACATAATAATAATTTGAAAGTCAATATCGCAAAAACCTGTTATTTACAATTCTATAGTAATAGTAGAAAGAAACTAGATCTTGACGTAAGATATAATAATGACAAAGTGCAAGAAAACGAACAGAAGAAATTTCTGGGAATAAAATTAGATAGTAATTGTAATTGGATGGCTCATATTGACGAAATTTGTAATAAAATTAATAGATTTGTATATGTTTTAAATAGGTTAAGAAGAACATCGTCAAGTCAAACCGCACTCATTGCATACCATGGATATGTTGCAACAATATTAAGATACGGATTATTAATTTGGGGTAATAGCTCTTATTCAAAAAGAGCTTTTATAGCTCAAAAAAAGTGTGTGAGAGCCTTAACTGGGGCCAAATGGTATGATTCTTGTAAGCCCTTGTTTAGGGATCTTAACATACTAACTTTACCAGGTATGTACATATTTGAAGCAAGTGTTCATGTAAAAAAACATTTACATATGTACAAAAAAGCATCTGAGGTATACTTGCGTAGCAATCGAAACTCTAATAGACTAGTTATAGAACGTATACCTAAAACTGCATTTTATCATAATGGCTGCTACGCGATGAGTGTAAAAATTTATAATAAACTTCCGGTAAATATTAAAGAAGAGACAGAAACTGGTAAATTTAAAACCAAACTAAAAAGCTGGCTACTATTAAAGTGCGTTTATGACGTAAAACAATTTTTAAATGAATAATCTTGCTGCCTGAACTTGACATTATTGTATTATTTTAGACTATTTTTTGTGTAATCTATACATTTTGTATATGTACTCTTTTGACATTCTAATTTTTACTTTTTATAATGATTGACATGTTGATTGTATTTTAATTTTATTTGATTTAAATGAATAATGCATATTTAAATTCTTTGCTTGTAATAATGATTGTAGTTTTAACGTTTTTAATTTATATTTATTTGTTTTAAATTAATCAATGTAGGTACATGACTATGTCTTTTCATTTAATTAATAATTTTCGCATGCCAGATGTGGTAAACATGTGGACTATATACAATATCCAATATTTGTCACCTCTAATGTACCATGTTTAAGCGAATAAATTAAGTTATTATTATTATTATTATGGGGTATCTATATAGTTTTCTCATCTGGTTGGGTTCTATAAATATATAATTATAAATGAAAATGAAAAGATAAATATACATAAATATCAATAACATAAAATAAATATAAAAGTACATAAATAAGTAAAAGCCCAACCAGATGGAGGCCCTCGGCAGGGGAGACCAAACGGCCGAGGGTTAGGGGGAAAGGGAAAGAAACCGGCGGACGATGCGGGCGGTATCGAGGAGCACCGCCTTCTGCATTTGAACCTGGAGCCCCACACCCAGCCGCCTCAATACCCGAGAGGCTGACTGGGATTAGCCCGTTTGCAGAGACGACTACAGGAATAATTTCGGTCGGCAGACCACCCCACATGTCGGTCACCTCGTGAGCCAGGTCCAGATATTTTGTTTTCTTGTCTGTTTCGGCTTTCACGAGGTTCTCGTCATACGGAATGGTAATGTCGACTTATTTATATTTATATATTATTTTATTATTATTATGTGGGGTATCTGTATAGTTTTCTCATCTGGTTGGGATGTATAAATATATAATTATAAATTAAAATGAAAAGATAAATATACATAAATATCAATAAAATAAAATAAATACAAAAATACACAAATAAATAAAAGCCCAACCAGATGGAAGCCCTCGGCAGGGGAGGAGACCAAACGGCCGAGGGTTAGGGGGAAAGGGAAAGAAACCGACGGACGATGCGGGCAGTATCGAGGAGCACCGCCTTCTGCATTTGAGCCCGGAGCGGTCCGTCACGGAGTCCCAGTCGCCTCAGATGATCAGAGAGGCTAACTGGGATTAGCCCATTCGCAGAGACGACTACAGGAATAATTTCGGTCGGCAGACCACCCCACATGTCGGTCACCTCGTGAGCCAGGTCCAGATACTTTGATTGCTTATCTGTTTCGGCTTTCACGAGGTTCTCGTCATACGGAACGGTAATGTCGACCAAAAATATCCTTGACTGTGCCCGGTCCATCAGCACAATATCAGGCTTATTCGCAAGAATAGTCCTGTCTGTGATGATGGCCCGGTCCCAATAGAGCCTGGCGCGGTCATTTTCGAGCACGGCTTCCGGCAAGTACTTGTAATACGGCAATTTCCGGTCCACGAGACCGTATTTCAGAGCGAGCTCCTGGTGTAGAATTCTGGCTACTAGGTTGTGCCTGTGCAAGTACTCAGAGTTAGAAAGCGCCGAACAACCGGAGATGACATGCCTAAGTGACTCACCGGGATGGCGACAAGCTCGACAGACGTCGACGGTGCCATCCTTTAGGATGTATCTCCGATAGTTGTTGGTCTTAATAACCTGATCCTGTATTGCACAGACAAAACCCTCGGTTTCCCCGAAGAGGTCACCGAAACGCAGCCAGTTGAGGGAGGCGACTGTGTCTACGAAGGGCTCATGTAGAGCCCTGTAGTACCTCCCGTGGAGCTCCTTCTCCTTCCATACGGCCTCCCGGTCGGAAATGCTAAGCACTGCCGGGTCCTGCCATTGCTCGTTGGCTAAGGATAGAGGGGTAAGCCCTTTATCACTAGAAATGACGTCATTATAGAATGGATCATCCGATCTCGCCAGGAAGTAATGACGGAGGCTGCACACTTCACGATTATGCATAGTGAGCGCGCTCAGAAAGCCACGCCCACCATGCTTTCGCGGCAAGTACAGCCTCATTACCGACGATCTCGGATGATGCATTCTATGGGACGTCATGGTAGTGCGGACTTTTCTATCCAGGGCGTTAAGTTCAGTCTGAGTCCACCTGAGTATGCCAAAGGTATACATAAGGACAGGTATGACCCAACCGTTATATGCGTGGTGTCTTATTCACACCGGACAAAAGGCTATTAAGCACTTTGGTCAAGCGTGCATAAAACACGTCGCAAACTGACTGTTTCATACCAGCCTCATCGATACCGATGTTCTGTGACATACCCAGGTATCGGTATGTTTCAGCCTCGGAAAGGGTCCTTAAGTTGACGGGCATAGATAAATCTATGCCCTCAGAGTTAGCAACCCTTCCCCTTTCAACATGGAGGACCACACACTTATCCGTCCCCAGCTCCATTCCAATGGAATCGCTAAATTCACAAGTGATATTTAGCAATTCCATAAGTTGGGAGCGACTGGAGGCGAATAACTTGAGGTCATCCATATAGAAAAGGTGGGTCACTTTTGCCCCTCCTTTCCGTAGCTGAAATCCTCTCCCGGATCCCTCCAGTAAGGTACTGAGAGGGTTCAGGGAGAGGCAGAACCAGATTGGACTCAGACAATCGCCCTGGAAGATACCCCTTCTTATCCTTATGTGGTTCTCCGCAGCCATCATCCGCTCACCCAGATGACAAAGGATCGTACTCCACTGCCCCATACACTGCTCGAGGAAGTCTCTCACTGTACAGTCTATCTTGTACAGCTCGAGGACTCTCTTTAGCCATGTATGGGGCACCGAGTCGAATGCCTTTCTGTAGTCTATCCAGGCGGCGGAGAAGTTCCGACGGTTGCGTTTCACCACTTTGCCAATGACCGCGTCAATGAGGAGGTGGTTCCTTGGTTCCACGACCACCGCCCCGACATCCATTTTGAGCGCGCGACATCACCTGATTTAGCTCCAGGTGACGAGTGATTCTCGCGCTCAAAATGGATGTCAGTGTCTTATATATGGTGGGTAGACACGTAATGGGGCGGTATTTGCTCGGGTCTGTGGTAACCTGGTCTTTAGGAACCAAATGAGTGATCCCAGTAGTGAAGAGGCTAGGGAGCGACTTCTGGTTGAGAGCCTCTTGAAACTGACGGGCGAGCACAGCGTGACACACCATGAACCCCTTCAGCCAGTAGTGATGCAGTCCGTCGAGTCCCGGACTTTTCCAGTTCGGGGCTCTACGGACCGCCTCAGCTACGTCATCCGGCGTTATGATGACGGGGTCCATGGGCGTAATACTCGCACACTGACTCGCCACAACTTCCGTCCAAGAGCTCTCGCTGTGGTTTACGGGCTCTGACCACAGGCCACGCCAAAATGCGACAGTGTTAGCCTGATCCGGTCCTGGGCCCGCTCCACATACCTCTGGTCGCTCCAATGATTTGTAGAGCCTCTTCTGATCACTCTGGAAGAGACGATTCTGGTTGAACCGCCTTGACCTCTCGGTAAATCGGCGAATCCGCTTCCCCCAAGCAGCAATCTTTTGCTTCAGGTCGTCTATGCGCTCCGTTAGTTTCTGCGTGATATCCGGCTGGGACAAACTGATTTTTGTCCCAGCAAACGCCATTCTAACGGAGCGCACAACCCTCGGTCTATTATTACCCGACCTGAAGCTTATCAGTCTGCCGATAAGGGCCCTTGCCTTTGCGATACGGTCCTCAATTCTTTTTCTCCAGGCTGGGATGGCGCTACTTTGTTTAGTAGCGCGTCCAGCCAGGGGAAGTTTGGCGCCAATAATACGGCAAGCTGCCACTGCGGCGCCAAAAAGAACTGAGTCCGTCTCGCAAAGGTCCCGGCTGGCTTCCAAATAGGTTACCAGCATAGGGTTAAGAGCCCTCACGACAGCCCGATTTCGCTTGCTTAGGGGTATGCGAGGAAGTCGCGGTCGATTTTCGAGAGGCATGGTGCGCGTTTCCAAAATCGCCTCTTCCAGTATACTCCTCATTTGCTCTAGTTCGTGGGAGACCATTTCATCATCGTCGGAATCAACCACAACTGGAAGATCCATGGCAGCTTCTACGCGTGGCAGCTGGTCTGTCGCCTGAGGAGCCGCATCCCCAGCCGTAGCCAATTCATTCGATGAGGGAATGGCCTCACGTCGTAGTCGTTCGAGCTCGGCATCATCAAATATTTTCGAGCGCATGATGTACCGAACTCGGTCTGCCAGGTTTTGTTCCGTGACGGGAATAGACGGCTCCAGCTCAGCAAAAAAAGCAATGCATCCGAGCCCGATACGCTATCCCCTTAGTTTCTTCCCCTTTCGCCCTATAGTACGCCCGCAATGCGTTTGCGTTCATATCTCTTGTCCAACGCATGCGGCGCACTCCACCAGCGGCGGATGCCGCTTGCCGAGTCCGAGAGGACCCTGCCGACATCAAGCCGTCTGGTGGGGATGATGGATGCGGGGGGGCTGCTAGGTGATCTTGCAGCTCCTCGCACTCGGCTGGCGGCCCGCATGCTGCCGCGTCCAGCGCCAGCTCCAGACGCGCCCCGGCGACCCCCAGGCAGCGGCCCTATACGCTTTCTAATCATATCCATCATCCATTTTTGGGCGCCAATTAACGGGAGACGCCCAGGCCCGGCACCGTTTCATTGCATCATTGTACGGCCGTAAGCACAAACGGACCTTTGCACCCTGAGTACTGCCGTGGCACGGCGCTCACATCTCTTGGCAAGGCGCTGACTGACTGCACCGACGTAGCAGTTTTGTCACTTAACCGTTTCGTCAGCGGGCGATGGGGTCGTCACTTCCCTACGCCTACTTACTTATTATTATTATTATTATGGGGTATCTATATAGTTTTCTCATCTGGTTGGGTTCTATAAATATATAATTATAAATGAAAATGAAAAGATAAATATACATAAATATCAATAACATAAAATAAATATATATATTCATTATTATTATTATTATTATGTGGGGTATCTATATAGTTTTCTCATCTGGTTGGGATGTATAAATATATAATTATAAATGAAAATGAAAAGATAAATATACATAAATATCAATAAAATAAAATAAATACAAAAATACATAAATAAATAAAAGCCCAACCAGATGGAAGCCCTCGGCAGGGGAGACCAAACGGCCGAGGGGTTAGGGGAAAGGGAAAGAAACCGGCGGACGATGCGGGCAGTATCAAGGAGCACCGCCTTCTGCATTTGAGCCCGGAGCGGTCCGTCACGGAGTCCCAGTCGCCTCAGATGACCAGAGAGGCTAACTGGGATTAGCCCATTCGCAGAGACGACTACAGGAATAATTTCGGTCGGCAGACCACCCCACATGTCGGTCACCTCGTGAGCCAGGTCCAGATACTTTGATTGCTTATCTGTTTCGGCTTTCACGAGGTTCTCGTCATACGGGATGGTAATATCGACCAAAAATATTCTTGACTGTGCCCGGTCCATCAGCACAATATCAGGCTTATTCGCAAGAATAGTCCTGTCTGTGATGATGGCCCGGTCCCAGTAGAGCCTGGCGCGGTCATTTTCGAGCACGGCTTCCGGCAAGTACTTGTAATACGGCACTTTCCGGTCCACGAGACCGTATTTCAGAGCGAGCTCCTGGTGTAGAATTCTGGCTACTAGGTTGTGCCTGTGCAAGTACTCAGAGTTAGAAAGCGCCGAACAACCGGAGATGACATGCCTAAGTGACTCCCCGGGATGGCGACAAGCTCGACAGACGTCGACGGTGCCATCCTTTAGGATGTATCTCCGATAGTTGTTGGTCTTAATAACCTGATCTTGTATTGCACAGACAAAACCCTCGGTTTCCCCGAAAAGGTCACCGAAACGTAGCCAGTTGAGGGAGGCGACTGTATCTACGAAGGGCTCATGTAGAGCCTTGTAGTACCTCCCGTGGAGCTCCTTCTCCTTCCATACGGTCTCCCGGTCGGGAATGCTAAGCACTGCCGGGTCCTGCCATTGCTCGTTGGCTAAGGATAGAGGGGTAAGCCCTTTATCACTAGAAATGACGTCATTATAGAATGGATCATCCGATCTCGTCAAGAAGTATTGACGGAGACTGCACACTTCGCGATTATGCATGGTGAGCGCGCTCAGAAAGCCACGCCCACCATGCTTTCGCGGCAAGTACAGCCTCATTACCGACGATCTCGGATGATGCATCCTATGGGACGTCATGGTAGTGCGGACTTTTCTATCCAGGGCGTTAAGCTCAGTCTGAGTCCACCTGAGTATGCCAAAGGTATACATGAGGACAGGCATGACCCAGCAATTATATGCGTGTGACTTATTCACACCGGACAAAAGGCTGTTAAGCACTTTGGTCAAGCGTGCATAAAACACGTCGCAAACTGACTGTTTCATACCAGCCTCATCGATACCGATGTTCTGTGACATACCCAGGTATCGGTATGTTTCAGCCTCGGAAAGGGTCCTTAAGTTGACGGGCATAGACAAGTCTATGCCCTCAGAGTTAGCAACCCTTCCCCTCTCAACATGGAGGACCGCACACTTATCCGTCCCCAGCTCCATTCCAATGGAACTGCTAAATTCACAAGTGATGTTTAGCAGTTCCATAAGATGGGAGCGACTGGAGGCGAATAACTTGAGGTCATCCATATAGAAAAGGTGGGTCACTTTTGTCCCTCCTCTCCGTAGCTGAAATCCCCTCCCGGAGCCCTCCAGTAAGGTACTGAGAGGGTTTAGAGAGAGGCAGAACCAGATTGGACTCAGACAATCGCCCTGGAAGATACCCCTTCTTATCCTTATGTGGTTCTCCGCAGCCATCATCCGCTCGCCCAGATGACAAAGGATCGTACTCCACTGCCCCATACACTGCTCGAGGAAGTCTCTAACTGTACAGTCAATCTTGTACAGCTCGAGGACCCTCTTTAGCCATGTATGGGGCACCGAGTCGAATGCCTTTCTATAGTCTATCCAGGCGGCAGAGAAGTTCCGACGGTTGCGTTTCACCACTTTGCCAATGACCGCGTCAATGAGGAGTGGTTCCTTGGTTCCACGACCACCGCCCCGACATCCATTTATTATTATTATTATTATTATTATTATTATAAATATTTTAATTGTTTCACAGTAATCGATTGTTGACTGATGTTGGTTATTCATCGGTTATATCTACTAAAGTTTGCATAGTGGTATAAGTAAATAAATAATTTGGTTGCAACCTTTTTTTAAAAATTAAATAATCAAATGTAGCTAATATTTTTTTAATCGTTACTTACAGTCAATTACTATATTTTTTTATTACATAAATATTAATCGCAACGGCATTGACCGAGCTTATCTCGAGTTAAAATCCAAAATTTGTCGTCTTTGTAGATTTTAAGTACTTTACTGCATGATCTGGGTCAGTCCATACGGCAAGCATGCGGACATTTTTATTTTCTATTATTATTTCTCCAGAAATAGTATATTTCTTTTTTTTACCTTTAGTGACACTTTGATACTTGTTATATATCAAAGAATCAATATAAAATTTTCTATCCTTTAGTGCAATAAAAAACACCCTATGGATATTTATAATCTACGTTTATTACGTACGCCATTTTCGCGTGAATGTTATTGTGTTGATTTTTGAATTTTTGTAGTGTTTTATTAGAGTTTTAGTATAGTATATTATTATAAAATTGTAATGAAAGTTTTTATGTGAATATTATTTATCTTTTGACGTAAATAATTTCGAGTTATATGTATTGATACGTACGTAATATGTATTTATACGTGGTAGAGCCCTGCTGCAGTTATATTAGATGTATATTTGTAGCACGAATGGATCGGCTCGACCGGGGAAGGACCACGTTCTCACAGAATACCAGCGTGAAATAGTAGCTTAATGCTGCTGTATTTCATATAATAAGTGTTTTCATCATTCATTCATTTTGATATTCATTTACGAAGTTTATAAGCATATATATACACATATGTATATATATATATATATATATATATATATATATATATATATATATATATATAATATCTGTGTATTAATGTACGTATATTTTAATGTATGTGCACTTATTTATGTATAATAGTCGCACCTGCTAACAATTGTCCTTGGCACCCAGGGTTGACTGGCAGAGAATGCCACATGGCATTAAGTCCGCCCTATGTACCCTTTAGCTTAGGGTGTTACATATAAGATTTAAAATAAAAAAAATTAGTGCGAAGTTTTGAGTAGAAAATACTTCAAATGATTTTTAAACTGATTAAAGAAAAGGTGACTTCAGATAACATTGCCTAAAATTTGAAATAATAATGTACTATAGTATTTCGAATTAGCTAAAACCAAATATTTAATTATTTTTGTGACTAATAAATTGTTTACTGCCTGATATCTCTATAGTCTGTAAAGTCTCTATAGTCTGAGTCATTAGTCGCAACTTTAAGAGCGCTTACTCCGGTTTTTGGTCACAATATTCTTCCCACTAGACAAGCTATGCGTGCGAGTGTGTAGAAATCCTGAAACTGTGAGAAAAGACATCGGACGAAACACTGGAAATAATGCAGCTTTAAGAGCTTCAGTTCAAAATTGACCAAAAAAGTAGATTTCATGCCGTTCATAAGAATTAGGAGTTATTCAGTCCGTATTACGGCGAATTTTGTGTAAAGATCTCCAGCTATACCCTTACCTTCAAACTTCAGGATTATGTAAAGCGCCGAAACTTATCCGACTTCGTTCTGCAAAAATTTGGAAAAATCCTTAATTTCATCGAAAAATCTTAAGTGATGGAGCTCTTTTTTGACTGCATGGCTTTTGCCGTGAAGCAGAATATGTATTATTAGACAGCAACAGGCGCTTCATGAGACTCTAAAAAGTGAGTGTATGGTGTGGATTTCCTGCCGGAGGTGTGATATGGCCGTTTTTTTGTCGATGAAAATAATGACCATGTTATGGTTAATGGAGACCGCTATTGTGCAATTTTAAACGACTAACCAGTAACCATAGCCTATTAATTATTTCACATTGGCAATATGAACTTAAAAAATATTTTTTTTGTTGAAGCAATAGAATAAAGTAAAAATGTTTTATTTCATTAAATCTTTACAATTATTTTGCAGAGGCCTCTCAGAAAGTAATGATAAGAAGATACTTGTGTTGGAAATAACTTTTCAATATATTTTCAATATTAACTTTAATATATTGTAAAGAAA